TTACAAGTCAGATTAAAGAAAAAAGAATTGGCCATTAATAGGCATCGTCCAGATTTATAAATTTGACTGACATTAGCTGATTGATGAATATTATCTCTAGCTGTTCTTTCAGACACACACATTCACTACAAATTCATTGTATACATCATCGTTTTTAAAATGTGTTTAACTGTGGTTCTACTTAGGTGGCCATACAGCATGTAGTTAAGAGATACCTACATTTGGAGTCGAATACCTGAGGGTCAAGGCTACCTGGTTTGTAATTCCGGTTCCATCATTTACCATCCCATAACCTACAGGGCTAGGTCTCTGAAAGAGGAGTACAACAGTTCCCATCTTACGGGGATTTGATGGTGATGAAATAAGGTAGTACACAGACGTGAGATAAGTGTCTGCAACAAAAATCCATTCAATGTCAGCTATTGTTGAGCAAGTCTCGGGTCAGTCAACTGCATGTTTTAATGTTTATTTTCTGTTTCATACAGTGGAACTAATAATACTTAACCTCATCAGTTTCTAGTGGCAGCAAAATGACTTAATACTGTTAAACTTCTAAGTATATGTAATTGGCTATCAAGATTTTTTTTTTTTTTGGAGAGTTTTTTGCTATAGTGTGTGTGTGCACTTGCCAGAAAGAGAGAGAGAAATAGAAAGCGACAAATTACTCCCCGGGGGGACGGCCATACCACAATCCCTTCTCCTCCATTTTCCCCTTGGGACCTTGGGCACGCATGCACACGTGCCCAGCATGAGTTTAAGTCACTGGGTCCAGGACTCGAACCGCAGTCGGCTACATGGAAGTCCAGTGACATAGCCATTATGCTAACTGCTGGTCCCAAGATTCTTAACTATTATTACTTTTACCTGTTTTTGTTGCTTACAAGAATAAATCTGTTTTATCTGAGAGAATAAGTATGTGGAAATGATTGTTCTTCTCACTTATGTTCTTTTGGTCACACTACAATAAAGTTTTTGCTTTTCATGCATACCTGTTTGGCCAACAACCTCTAATGGGATAGAGCCACTAGAATAAATAGGAGTAAAGAGGGAAAAGTTTTTCTTTTCCATTTTCATATTGAGAGAGGGAAAGCTTCTATGGAGCTTTGATGCCGGTCAGTAGATTCATTTTCTCTTATTTTAGATTTTCATTTGTTTTATTCTTGTGCTTTCTCCTCTGCCATTTTGTAGGTCCAATATAAAAGGAACATTGTCTTCTGGATTCTTTATTTTTTGGAGAGGTTTTTCTATAGGGTGGTGTGCTCTCTGGAAAGACAGAGAGAGACAGAGAGACAGAAAGCAAGAAATCCCCCCCCAGGGGGATGGCCACGCCACAATCCCTTCTCCCCTCTCCTCTCGGGATCTTGGGCATGCATGCACACGCACCCAGCATGAGTTTAAGCCACCGGGTCCAGGACTCGAACCGCAGTGGACTATGTGGGAGTCCAGAGACATAGCCATTACACTAACTGCTGGTCTCATTTTCTGGATTCTTTAGTCACTACCTGCATCTGGATTTTTTCTATAGTCATTCTGTTTTAATGCCATGTGCAATCTGTTTTCCTACTTTTTCTTTTTTTAGACTTAGGATTCTGTAAAGAATCTAACTCCAGATAAAACAGTTCTAGAACTACTTTCAAGTCTGAAAATGGAACGTTTGGGCCTCTAAAGTGTGTTTAATCCATAATGAGTTATGTGTGTGTTGGCGAAGATGATACTTTCTGAAACATCATTATTTGCCTCTCTCTTTTGCATTTACGTACATTTATACCATATTCTCAACTTGACACACTCATTTGCCAGGGTTATGTATGAGGGCATAGAAAGGGTGGGCCATAGTGATCACGAGATGAGCAAAACACTGAAAAGAAAGGAAAGAGGAAAGAAGAAAAAGAGGAAACAAAGAAGAAAGGAAGGGTAGGAGGGTGGGCAGTGAGTTCAAAGTGCCCTGACATTGTGCTTAGCATCTAAGATAATCCCTGCAGCAGATTCTTAGTGAAAATATATAGAATGAATGTATAAACGTCAGCTCCTACACCATTTCTATAAAATGCCAATGAGGAGAGGAAACAGGATAGGTATAGGGTACTGTATTTGGGACTCTATACCAGAAACTCTCAAATATATTTCCAGAGAAACACCCAGAAACATGGAGACAGAAGTTCTCCTCCAGTAAATGAGTAACTGTAATAACTAGCAAGCTGGAAGTCCACTGTCTTCAATAAAACATGATGAGTAACCCTGGCTGAGCATCCGTGGGCAGTCACCAGAGAACATAGATAACAGCCATGAGCTGATATGAAATCACTGGGAGCCAGGTAGATGAGCAGATGTCCAAGGAGCTGTGAATCTACTATAGAATTTCTTCAGGTAGACTAGTGCACCTAGTTACAGCAAGGGAGGAGGGGTGACTGTCCAAACCACATGTTTCTAAAAATCCTACATTGCTCAATCCTATAGAACCCTTCTGCAAATATTGCATGTATGTGAAATGAGTTAAAATTTCTCTTTTGAGCTCAAAGAAAACAAATATGCAAGCTCAAAATCTTCTGTTTTTGTTTGTTTGTTTGCTTGTTCTTTAGAAAGAGAGATTTTTGCTATAGGGCATGTGTGCTTGCCAGAGAGAAAGAGAACAAGAGAGACAGAAAGTGAGAAAGAGACAGAAAGTGGGGATGGACATGCTGTGATCCTTCTCCTTCATTCTTCTCTCAGGATTTTGGGCACGTATGCACATGCACCCAGCATGAGTTTTAAGTGGTCTGGTCCAGGACTTGAAATGTGGTTGACTATGTGGGAGTCCAGGAATTTAACTATTATGCCATCTCCTGGCTCAAGATCGACTCCTTTGTTAAGTTTCTAGAAAACAAACAAAAAAGAAAGCAAATCAAAACAAAAAACGGCCATTGTCAGAAGAAGTAAAATGGTACTTCAAGAAAAAATTCAGTTCTAAAAATAGACATTACTCTTTTGAGGGGTTGACCTCATGTTAGTAATTAGAGGCTAGGATTTACAACACCTTCCTTCTGTAATAAGGTTATTCTACTGGTTGTGTTTCAAAGCCGGAGGACTCTAGGAAACCACTGGTCATAAGAAGTGTTTTCTTGAATGAGGTAAACCAGAGCTGAAACTACTCATTGTCTTTTATTGACCAACTGAAAATAATAATTGGAAAGTTTGAAAAAACTAACAATTTGGTGCTGAACTTTATGTGATCATCAAGATTGACCAACTGGTCAATAATAATTGGAAAGTTTGAAAAAACTAGCAATTTGGTGCTGAACTTTATGTGATCATCAAAGAACATTCGAGTTTTATATATCTGTGAAATCTTAATCGGAGACTTCAATTTCCCTCTTCTTCCTTTTATTGTTTTGCTCAGTCTATAATTGGAGAATCCCTTTTCAGCGTTTGGGGCAGGTGTGAGTTGACAGGACATTCTTCCTATTGCTTCTTAATTCTTTCCCCAAAACTGAAGTGTTTTTTTAAAAGTCATGCCCTTCTCTGCACTTCTCCAGCCTCACGTATGAACATCTGTAGATGACTTCTCATCACATTTGATAAAATCCTTACTTCTTACCTTGCCTTGAGAGACCATACACAATAAGCCTTTCTCTTCATCCTCGTCTGTCACCACTTCCTCTTATTCACTGTACTCCAACCACACTGACCTTAGTTTTGTTCCTCACTGTCTTAACCAAAAAGCCCTTGCCTCTCAGAATCTTTATTCTTGTTCTTTCTGCTTGAGCTGCTTTTTCCCAGCTCTGGGTGTTGCTACCCCTTCCCCTAATTTCACATCTCTCTGTTCAGATATCTTCTTCTCAGCTATACTGTCCTCAACAAATCTATCCATAGTGACTCTTCAATACTTTCTTTTCCCTCATTGGACCTATTTATGAAGATGAAGTATAAACACCTCTGGTGACCAATGGTTTTCTTGAGAATGTTTTTCTTGGTTTTTAAAAAGTTCATGAAAAATAGGTATTATGAAACAATTATGCATGAATTTCATTTTTTTCCCCAAGAATAAGTTTGTATTTAATTCCACTTTCCACAAAGCATTTGAAAGTCTCCTTATATACTTATTGCATACTTGTTTCCAGGCTTCACAAAAATGTGTTTTGTGCTTGGTATCTGATGTTGTGCTTAGTATCTAAGATAATGCCTGGCCGAAGGTTCTTAGTGAGGATAAGTGGAATGAATGAATGGACTTCAGCTCCTACACTGTGTCTGTAAAATGTCAATGATGTTGGGAAACAGCATAGGATAGTTGAAGGGATTTATTTATTTTTTCTCAGAGAAGTTTGAGAATAAGGGAGGGAAACTGCGCTAATTCTAATTCTAATGGTAGCTCATTACTGGCTAGGCACCATAGAAACCACTCTACATATATTGGCTCACTTGCCTATATCAACTTAAGGAATAAAATAGGTTTTGTGAACAGCAGTTATAGCTGTGAAGCAGAAGGTGGCTGGCCTTCCCTTGGATGGACTCAGAAAGGGAAGGTTAGAGTCTACAGGACAGTGAACACTTCCATCATGATTCACATTTTACTTTCTTGGGACTAGTAGATGGTGTAATAGTTATATCACTGGACTCCTACATGGTCAACCATGGTTAGCGTCCCAGACCTGGCAGCTTAAAACTCACGCCAGGCACGTGTGCATTTGTGCCCAAAATCCCAAGAGAAAAATGGAGGAGAAAGGATTGTGGTATGGTCAATCCCCTTGGGGAGGGGAGGAGTTTCCTCACTTTCTGTCTCTCTGGCAACTGTATGTACCCTATAGCAAAAATTTCTCTCTCTAGAAAAACAAACAACAACAAAAAATTATTTTCTCTTCCTGGGTAGAGCAAAAAGAATGCTGTAGCCTTTAAGTAAGAAGAAAACCACTGTACAATAACTATGAGGTTTATTTTGGGCCAATAAAACAGAGCTTTGGTTCAGTTTGGTTCTGCTTTGTTTTGTTTGGATGTCCCCTCAGTCATTTTTATTTTCTTTGTAACAGGTCAGTTTGGTTCATCAGTGGCCTCGTACTTCCTTTTCTTGAGATGGATGTATGGAGTAAATATGGTTCTCTTCATCTTGACATTCAGCCTCATCATGTTGCCAGAGGTGAGCTATGATTTTCCGTGTACAAAACATGCTGAAAAAGTTTCTCATTTGATAGCTCTTCAAGAAAAGCTTGTATCTCTTTTTTAAGAGTAGAAATATGGGGGCAGCCCCTAGTCTGGTGGTTAGGGAAGTGGATCCCACATGGCTGATTGTGGTTCAAATCCTGGCTTAGTGGCTTGAAAAACATGACAAGCATATTTGCACACATGCTCTAAATCCCGAGGAGATGAGAAACTGAAGAAGGGATTACAGTAGGACAACATCCCATTGAGGAGTGCTTTCTTTTGTTTCTGTCTGTCTTTGATGAGTGCATATGCCTTCTGGCATTTACAAAAAAAAAAAAAAAAAAAGGAAGAGTAGAACAAATGCTTTAAAATTTGTGACAAGGTTAACTTTTTATTATTTTTAGGTTTTGTGCCATAGGGCATGTGTGCTCACTGGAGAGAGTCAGAAAGAGGGACAGAAGCAGGGAAAGTGAAAAATCACTCCCCCAGAGGGGATGGCCACACCTCAATCCATTCTCCTTCTTTCTTCTCTTGAGATTTTTGGCACACACCCACACACACATGATTTTCAAGCCACTGGGTCTGGGACTTAAATTGTGAATGGCCATGTGGGAATTCAGTAAAGTTTCACTGTCTTCAATAAAACATGATGAGTAACCCTGGCTGAGCATCCGTGGGCAGTCACCAGAGAACATAGATAACAGCCATGAGCTGATATGAAATCACTGGGAGCCAGGTAGATGAGCAGATGTCCAAGGAGCTGTGAATCTACTATAGAATTTCTTCAGGTAGACTAGTGCACCTAGTTACAGCAAGGGAGGAGGGGTGACTGTCCAAACCACATGTTTCTAAAAATCCTACATTGCTCAATCCTATAGAACCCTTCTGCAAATATTGCATGTATGTGAAATGAGTTAAAATTTCTCTTTTGAGCTCAAAGAAAACAAATATGCAAGCTCAAAATCTTCTGTTTTTGTTTGTTTGTTTGCTTGTTCTTTAGAAAGAGAGATTTTTGCTATAGGGCATGTGTGCTTGCCAGAGAGAAAGAGAACAAGAGAGACAGAAAGTGAGAAAGAGACAGAAAGTGGGGATGGACATGCTGTGATCCTTCTCCTTCATTCTTCTCTCAGGATTTTGGGCACGTATGCACATGCACCCAGCATGAGTTTTAAGTGGTCTGGTCCAGGACTTGAAATGTGGTTGACTATGTGAGAGTCCAGGAAAAAAACTATTATGCCATCTCCTGGCTCAAGATCGACTCCTTTGTTAAGTTTCTAGAAAACAAACAAAAAAGAAAGCAAATCAAAACAAAAAAGGCCATTGTCAGAAGAAGTAAAATGGTACTTCAAGAAAAAATTCAGTTCTAAAAATAGACATTACTCTTTTGAGGGGTTGACCTCATGTTAGTAATTAGAGGCTAGGATTTACAACACCTTCCTTCTGTAATAAGGTTATTCTACTGGTTGTGTTTCAAAGCCGGAGGACTCTAGGAAACCACTGGTCATAAGAAGTGTTTTCTTGAATGAGGTAAACCAGAGCTGAAACTACTCATTGTCTTTGATTGACCAACTGGTCAATAATAATTGGAAAGTTTGAAAAAACTAGCAATTTGGTGCTGAACTTTATGTGATCATCAAAGAACATTCGAGTTTTATATATCTGTGAAATCTTAATCGGAGACTTCAATTTCCCTCTTCTTCCTTTTATTGTTTTGCTCAGTCTATAATTGGAGAATCCCTTTTCAGCGTTTGGGGCAGGTGTGAGTTGACAGGACATTCTTCCTATTGCTTCTTAATTCTTTCCCCAAAACTGAAGTGTTTTTTTAAAAGTCATGCCCTTCTCTGCACTTCTCCAGCCTCACGTATGAACATCTGTAGATGACTTCTCATCACATTTGATAAAATCCTTACTTCTTACCTTGCCTTGAGAGACCATACACAATAAGCCTTTCTCTTCATCCTCGTCTGTCACCACTTCCTCTTATTCACTGTACTCCAACCACACTGACCTTAGTTTTGTTCCTCACTGTCTTAACCAAAAAGCCCTTGCCTCTCAGAATCTTTATTCTTGTTCTTTCTGCTTGAGCTGCTTTTTCCCAGCTCTGGGTGTTGCTACCCCTTCCCCTAATTTCACATCTCTCTGTTCAGATATCATCTTCTCAGCTATACCGTCCTCAACAAATCTATCCACAGCGACTCTTCAATACTTTCTTTTCCCTCGTTGGCCCTATTTATCAAGATGAAGTATAAACACCTCTGGTGACCAATGGTTTTCTTGAGAATGTTTTTCTTGGTTTTTAAAAAGTTCATGAAAAATAGGTATTATGAAACAATTATGCATGAATTTCATTTTTTTCCCCAAGAATAAGTTTGTATTTAATTCCACTTTCCACAAAGCATTTGAAAGTCTCCTTATATACTTATTGCATACTTGTTTCCAGGCTTCACAAAAATGTGTTTTGTGCTTGGTATCTGATGTTGTGCTTAGTATCTAAGATAATGCCTGGCCGAAGGTTCTTAGTGAGGATAAGTGGAATGAATGAATGGACTTCAGCTCCTACACTGTGTCTGTAAAATGTCAATGATGTTGGGAAACAGCATAAGATAGTTGAAGGGATTTATTTATTTTTTCTCAGAGAAGTTTGAGAATAAGGGAGGGAAATTGCACTAATTCTAATTCTAATGGTAGCTCATTACTGGCTAGGCACCATAGAAACCACTCTACATATAATGGCTCACTTGCCTATATCAACTTAAGGAATAAAATAGGTTTTGTGAACAGCAGTTATAGCTGTGAAGCAGAAGGTGGCTGGCCTTACCTTGGATGGACTCAGGAATGGAAGGTTAGAGTCTACAGGACAGTGAACACTTCCATCATGATTCACATTTTACTTTCTTGGGACTAGTAGATGGTGTAATAGTTATATCACTGGACTCCTACATGGTCAACCATGGTTAGCGTCCCAGACCTGGCAGCTTAAAACTCACGCCAGGCACGTGTGCATTTGTGCCCAAAATCCCAAGAGAAAAATGGAGGAGAAAGGATTGTGGTATGGTCAATCCCCTTGGGGAGGGGAGGAGTTTCCTCACTTTCTGTCTCTCTGGCAACTGTATGTACCCTATAGCAAAAATTTCTCTCTCTAGAAAAACAAACAACAACAAAAAATTATTTTCTCTTCCTGGGTAGAGCAAAAAGAATGCTGTAGCCTTTAAGTAAGAAGAAAACCACTGTACAATAACTATGAGGTTTATTTTGGGCCAATAAAACAGAGCTTTGGTTCAGTTTGGTTCTGCTTTGTTTTGTTTGGATGTCCCCTCAGTCATTTTTATTTTCTTTGTAACAGGTCAGTTTGGTTCATCAGTGGCCTCGTACTTCCTTTTCTTGAGATGGATGTATGGAGTAAATATGGTTCTCTTCATCTTGACATTCAGCCTCATCATGTTGCCAGAGGTGAGCTATGATTTTCCGTGTACAAAACATGCTGAAAAAGTTTCTCATTTGATAGCTCTTCAAGAAAAGCTTGTATCTCTTTTTTAAGAGTAGAAATATGGGGGCAGCCCCTAGTCTGGTGGTTAGGGAAGTGGATCCCACATGGCTGATTGTGGTTCAAATCCTGGCTTAGTGGCTTGAAAAACATGACAAGCATATTTGCACACATGCTCTAAATCCCGAGGAGATGAGAAACTGAAGAAGGGATTACAGTAGGACAACATCCCATTGAGGAGTGCTTTCTTTTGTTTCTGTCTGTCTTTGATGAGTGCATATGCCTTCTGGCATTTACAAAAAAAAAAAAAAAAAAGGAAGAGTAGAACAAATGCTTTAAAATTTGTGACAAGGTTAACTTTTTATTATTTTTAGGTTTTGTGCCATAGGGCATGTGTGCTCACTGGAGAGAGTCAGAAAGAGGGACAGAAGCAGGGAAAGTGAAAAATCACTCCCCCAGAGGGGATGGCCACACCTCAATCCATTCTCCTTCTTTCTTCTCTTGAGATTTTTGGCACACACCCACACACACATGATTTTCAAGCCACTGGGTCTGGGACTTAAATTGTGAATGGCCATGTGGGAATTCAGTAAAGTTTCATGGTTTCTACAGCTATTGAAGGTAAGTAATCTTTGCTAAACTTTGCTTAGGAGGAAGTTTTGGCAGCTTGGGAGTTATTTTTATTTATCTCTCCTAGGTTGCTTTCAAATAAATCCTTCTTAATATGCAACTCAAAATATCCAGCTTTTCTGTACCAAAGAAACACAAAATGAACAATTTTTTTCCAGATATAGAATAAGATAATTCAGACACAAGCACACAGGCACACATGCACAAAGGCAGGCAAGAGTGGGAGAGGGTAGGGTCTTTTAGGACCAAAGTTGGAAAGTAAAACGAAGGATCCAGATTGAAGAAGGCAACAGCCTAAAATGGACAGGGGAAGAGTCCAGGAACCTGACTGAATTTGAGGCCATCACCCATAAAAAGTTAGTGACTGGCCCTTTTGGATGCTAACTATACAAAGTTGGATTAGGCTTAATTTCTTTTACAAAAGGGCCTTTCAATGCTGTAGTACTTCAGAACCAATTTGTTCAATGCAGCATTGACAAATTTGGTATTTTCAGTCCTCAGAGCTTCATAGCATGTCAAGCTTTCTATTAACATGATAATGATGGTGCCTTATAATCCTAAAGAGGTTTTAACTCTTTATAATGCAAAGCACTTTCACTTCTTCTGCTTACTGAACTTCAGAGCAAATTTATGAATTTATCTTCACCTGTTTAAAAAACGTAGAAGCTTAGTCACGTAATGCTTCTGTGACTTAGCTAATGTCTCAGAATGAGTTGAGGACTTTGTTATTATTATAAAGAAGATGGCTTCTCAGGCTTCTAACGCTTCCGAGGCTCAGAGAAGACGTGGGCGTGAATCAGAAGTCCTTGGGAGAGTTCCTCTCCCAAGTGAAAACTTACAGGGGTGTAGCACAATGTCTGTGTTTCATCTATTTCAAATTAAGCCCAGCTTGGTTTTTGCTCATCTCTCCAAGGAAACCTGAAACACTCTATCCCATCACCAGCTCCTGTGACCTAGTCAGTGTCAGATGCGGGTCTAAGTGGAGTCCTAGCAGCCGCAGGTACTCTTTTCC